TTTTTTTTTTTGAGTTGGAGTCTCACTCTGTCCCCCAGACTGGAATGCAGTGGCACACTCATGGCTACCCCAGCGTCGACCTGCTGGTCTCTGGCAATCCTCCTGCCTCAACCTTCCAAGTAGCCAGAACTACAGGTGGGCGCTACCATGCCCCGCCAATTTTTGATTTATTGTAGAAACGGGTCTCCCCGAGTTGCCCGGGCTGGTCTCGAACCCGCAGACTCAGGCAATCCACTTGCCTCGACCTCCCAAAGTGCTGGAATTACAGGCAGAGGCACTGAGCCTGGCCAAGAAGTTGTTTTATAAGCAGGAAGGGTAAACAAAGGAAAGTTGGACATCCAGTAGACGCCTAATAGCAAAAACATGAGCAAATTATTGATAGCAGGTTTGAGTGTGTCAAGTAACTACACCATGGTAAACTGGTACAGATAATATATGAATTTAAAAGTCTTGCAGACTGGTATGATTTAAAATTGGACGTAGGCACTGGAAGATAGTAAATACTGACCGATGACAGTAGATATGGGGCTACCATGTTGAAGAACTCCAATGGGCACTATAATTAGTATATGTTATATGAATGGTACTCCATGCGATGTAGTATCTATTGCTCATATTTACACACTATTTGCTACTTACTTGGCACTATTCTGATCAATACACTTGTATTAAAATATAGCTAATGAATCTAAGATGAGGAATTAGATTTGGGATTAATGGGATGATTAATATGAGTCCTGGGACTTGGGTAATTACATAATGGAACAGGTCAGGAGAATTCGTGATCAACAGTCTGGTTAGAACAGAGGGTTTTATGGGAGATAGGTATATTTAAATTATTTCCAAAATACTTTAAGTAGATACAGAAGAAATCCACCCACAGTTCTGCTACTTCTTCAATATAGTACTTTCATTTTCTATTCCTTCTATTTTAAGGCTCATATTCACTTTTCTCTTTAAACATATTCAATAGGTTTAATTTTTATTCCTATTTATTCAACTGTTCTATTTGATGAAGAGAGCCACCACGTGGTCAGTCTTTCATGCTTTCATTTATATACTGACATTGTTTTATGCCTCTGACTTCGTTGTGGTCTTTCCTGTGACTTGTGCCTGGCTTCAAGACCTGACCTACTGTGCTTGGCCAGTTTTGTGGCTGCCCATCTGTGTCTATACCTAGAGACACTCTTATTTTTGTATGTAATATGTTCATGTAAACACTCGAGACAGTTGACTATGAAGGAACTGAACAACAGATATTTAAGGTAGGTTCTGTCCCAGAAAGTTTAAAATATAAATATATTTAAAACATTATAAAATTATATGATTAATATAGGCTTGATGATATATTTCCTGCACTCAAGGATGTTCTTATTTTTCTTTTATAGTAGAACATGCAGTTGACTGACAAAGTTGATTTGTAGTAGAATATACAGTTGACTGAGCACTTCATTGAGGCTAATGATTATTTCTTTATATTAATTAAATTAAACTTGTGAGACCTACATTTCTTACCACTAGTTTTAGTACTTTGATTTTTCTGTTATCTCTCCATGTTTACAAAATATGGGGAAATGAAATATGAAATCCAATAATTATAAAACCTACTATACAAAGATTGTGATATTAGCTGGCAGGCCTTATCAGCTCAGAGCTCAAAGTGCATCTTTGTCAGATGATATTCAAAAGTGCAGATTTTATAATATTTAAGGTGGTTTGGAGTGTCGGGTTATATATGTCTAATGTTTACACAGGTCTAATGTCTGTCCTTTTATAGGCATCCTAGT